GGGTTTTTAACAAGTGCAACAATGAAAGGAGAGTGAGCACGAAGAAAAAGAGTTGCAGAAGTGTAGCATATAAGGACCAGTTGAAGGAAAGGTGCTCCTGAAGAATAGCTTGTTCGGCGGACACTCCCTGAAATGCCTGTATATGTGGAAGCCCAACCAGGAGCCTTTGGTGGTGGGGGACAGTGAAGGCGAGTAGGGATAACTGTATTTATTCTGATATCTTCTGAGCCTAATAATGTGGGGTCTGGCTTAAAGTATCCTGCTGAAATGTTTGTTAATTGAATGAAGGGATGTTTGGATGGATGGATGGATGGATGGATGGATGGATGGATGGATGGATTGGTAGATGGGTAAATGGGTGAATGGATGGATGAGTGGATGATGGATGGATGGATGGATGGATGGACGGATGGATGGATGAGACTACTTCTCTCTGGTTTTCAGAGGCAAAACTGAAACCAGTGTTTGTGGTAATCAGGTGGCTGTGTAGATAGCTTTTCAAGAATGGCCTGCTTTTTCTTTTTTCTTTTCTTTTCTTTTCTTTTTTCTTTTCTTCTCTTCTCTTCTCTTCTTTTCCTCTCCTCTCCTCTCCTCCTCTCCTCTCCTCCTCTCCTCCTCTCCTCCTCTCCTCCTCTCCTCCCCTCCCCTCCCCTCCCCTCCTCCTCTCCTCTCCTCTCCTCTCCTTTTCTTTCTTTCAGCGATCCCTACCTACCGGTATTAATGCCTTTGTGTAATCCCCTACCTTTGATTGTAGGCTGTACCTGACGGCTTTCTCCTAATGAGTAGAAGGCAACAAAAGTGATGGGCTGTTACTTCTGTGAGTAGACTACAAAAGACAGTGACTTCCATCTTCCTGGTGACAAGGTGTCATAGTGGAGAGGCCCATGTGGTGGCCTTAGGCCAACAGTCAGTGAGGAGCTGAGGCCCTCAGCCCAACAGCCCACAAGGAACTGAATGCTGCCAACAACCTCATAAGCAAGGAAGGAGACCCTTCCCCAGTGGAGCTTTGATATATAATCCCAGCCCCACCAGTACCTGGATTACAGCCTGTGTGAGGCCCTGAGCAGAGAACCACCTAAGCTGTGCCTTGATGCCTGACCCACAGAAACTATGAGACAACAAATGTGTGTTGTTTCAAGCCACCCCGTCTGGGATTAACTTGTGGCCAGCAAGAGATAGCGAATACAATGGCTGATCTGAGTTTACAAAAATGAACATTCTGACAATTAAACTTGGCAAATGATGGTAGTGGTTAAGAATCCAGGTTCTAGAACCAACTGGGCTAGTTTGAATCCTGGATCCCCAACTTACTAGCTGTGTGACCTTCGGCAAGATGATCAACTTCTCTGAGCCTCTGTTCTGGCATTCTTAAAATGGGTATAAGTCTCTGCTCATAGAGAATACACAAGGATTACTTGAAGTGCTTAAATAAAGGACTTAGCCCGGTACCTGTCACCGAATAGAAGGTAGGTGCTAGCAAGAATGATAATGGAGCAAGTTCCCTCACAAAACAGTGAGTGTCCCACACCCGGAAGTGATCAAGCTGAGGCATGATGGCAACGTGCAAGAAGTGAACAACACCCTGGGGGACCCCAAGCCCAATCCCAAGCTTCAGATTCTAGTGCTGTGTGGCTGCCTAGCTACTGCTGAGGGGTGAGGGATCAGGTGTGCCACGGGACCATTGGGCCTGTTACCTTGTACCAGGGTTTGGTAACAGCCGTTGCCGGCCTTGACCATGGGTAAGCACCTGCATTCCCGTATCCTCTGGCCAGGTGTTCAGCCTCCACCCTGTCTGGGCCCATGGAGCCCAGGAAGGTAAACACCCAGCTAGGAAGTGATTGTCACAGGCACGGGGCCAGATCTGAGCCGACGTGGGTCAGAAATGCTTCACAGGGAGCCTTCTCCAGGAGAGGACAAATTACCTGGCTGCAGGCTCTCTGAGACGGGGTAGAGGGTGCACAGATCTTGCTGGGGACACGGCGGCTTGCTCTGGGGCCCCGGACAAGACAGAGGAGAAGTGAAGGAGTCGTCGAGGGGGACCCAACCCCCCAGGAGCACCTCATTGGCAGGTGAGCAAATGATCTTGGTATTTTTAATGAAAGAAAATGAAATAAGAGATGGAATGGGGGTTTTGGCAGGATTGGAGACACCCCAGGCAGGTGCGTGAAGGGGAAGGAGGCCACCACCCACCCACTCATTGAGAGACAGCCCCAAGAGAGAAGACAGCCCCAGATTTCACTGTGGAGACCAAGTCTAGTCTTGGCTTCACCACAGCCTCCCGGGACTCAGTTTCCCCATCTGTGAAGTGGAGTAATGATCCATTCCAGGCTCCTCTCCTGTGATGGCTCTGGGGGAGGGGGGGGGCAAGTGAGATTAAAAAAATAATAACCCAGGACTGACTACATAATTTGCAGGGCCCCATGAAAAATGAATTTGTGAGGCTCTAGGTTCAAAATTAATTAAGAATTTCAAAAATATTAAGAATGAAAAATTATTAAGAATGGCAACAGTAGAGCATTAAACCAAGTGAGGGGCTTTTCTAAGAGCAGAGCCCTGTGTGGCCGCCTAGGTCACTTGCTTGTGGCTCCAGCCGTAATAAAAAAACGTGTATGTAAACTGTGAAGGGCCAAACCAACCGTGATTACTATGTGCCGTGGCTCAAATCTCAAGGTCAGGTAGCACACCTGGGAACGGAAATCTTAGCCCCGAAGTGGTAGCCCATCGCAAGGCTGCCCCCTCTGCCGGGGCCTCTGCTGCTCAGGGTCCCATCTCAAAAGGACAAAAGGCCCGCTCCCCCCAACCTTCCAGACTTGCACACCTGTCTAGCGTCAAGCCAAAGCATGGTGTGACTCAAATGTCTGGGGACACCGTGCTCTTGGATGTGGTGGGGTAGTTTCTTTCATTCTCTCTCTCGGTTTGAAATTCGGGACGTTCGCGGTCATTGGCAAAGCTCAGGTAGGACCCGCTGCTCCCGTACGCGTGACCGTTCTGCCGTGTTATGCCGACTGCCCACACGTGTGTTTGCCTTTCGGGCAAAGGCTCGTGTCAATGCAGTGAGACCATTGGTGGGAACGTCCCAACTGCCTACCCCCTCCCCGCCCACCATCACATCTCTATCCTCCCCTCTCCGTTTCTCACTCAGGCTTTCTTCTTCCTTTTTCATTCCTTCCCCCTTCTCCAGTGCCCTTGGCATTGCGCAGCTCACAGCACTGGGAACCGGTGTCTCCGTGGGTGTCCTAAGCTTTCTGGGAAATCAGACATCAGACCATCTCCTCAGCCCCACCCTCAACCCCGCCCCTTCCTGGAGTCCCAAGTGTCCTGTCTTGCAAACCCCTCCCTTGGGAGGACCCCCTCCTCCGGTCCCTGGAGAGGGGGGCTAGAACCAAGGCAGTGTGAGTAGGGGGCCACAGCTTTGTCCCCGGTGGCCCGAGATGGAGGAAGACAATTGCCTGGAGAGCCCACCTTGCCTGTGGGAGGCCTCTCTGGCCTCAGCTGGGAGGCCCAGGGGGCTTACATCAGCGGACAAAGCAGCCCAGAGGCTCAGCGGAGGCCAACCTAACAGCCCAGCCTTACTGGCTCCACTGCGGACCCTGTCTGGGCAGCCAGCGGGCCCGCCAGCCCGAAGTCCAGCATCCCCCACGCACATGAGCCCTTTGCCTCCCCAAGTAAGGGGTCAGCTCTGTCGCCTGGAGTTACCCCTGACACCACCACAGAATGACACAATTCCTTCCTTTATTCCTTCATCAAACAACTGCCGAGCACCTTGGGCAGGTGAGGCTTCCCAAAGGGGCTGGGGGCACAGATGCGACCAGGGTGGCGGAGGAGAATCAGAACCCCAAGGCCAGGTTAGGGGCCCTCCCTCCAGGAAGGGGGCACAGAATACCCTCCTCACTCCAGAGATGGGGATGGATTGTGGGGCTCAGAGGCATTTTGGTGTGCTCAGCCAGGAGGTTACATCTCTGAGCCTACCGGCATTTCTTTCCAGAACTCTCCTTGGCGTCTCAGGGAGCTCCCCTTGGCCTCCTCACCTTGGGGTCACCTTTCCCCACTTTGGGAGCTGTGGAGCTCCAGGCATGGAGGAAATACCCAAGGGAAGACTGTCAGCCTGCACCCCTTTCCCTGATTGGCAGTTGTCCTTGAGAGTCCCTAGAGGCCACATTGGGTCAGGGCAAAAGACTGAGCACTAGGGGCGCCTGGGCAGCTCAGTCGATTGAGCGGCCGACTTCAGCTCAGGTCAGGATCCCACAGTCCATGAGTTCGAGCCCCACGTCGGGCTCTGTGCTGACAGCTTAGAGCTGGAGCCTGCTTCCGATTCTGTGTCTCCCTCTCTCTCTGCCCCTCCCCTGCTCGTGCTCTGTCTCTGTCTCTGTCTCTCTCTCTCTCAAAAATAGATAAACGTTAAAAAGGGGGGGTGGCATTTGCCTGGAACATCTCTTCGTGTGTTTTTTTTGGGAGAATAGCTCAGGTGGCTAATTAAGAACCTGGGTGTCTGGGAACCTGGGTCAGGCCATGTCTCACTCTTTCTCCCTCAACTGGCCCACCCTTTGGGATGGGGGAATGAAGGTGGGGGTTATCATCAAAGGGATGCGTGGAGAAGTGGCCTTGGAGCTGAATATCATTAAACAACCTTACATCACTTCTTAATTATTTACAAGAGGAGAATTGGTGGGTAGGGTTTCATGTATTATAAAGCAGGCTCTCTAACTTGAAAATAAGGTCATTTTTTTCACACTTACCCTAACTGAATGTTGCAAGCCCTTCAAATAGCACACTCTCAGGAAAGGGACAGCAGAGTTTTAGCAAGGTGGAGTGGGAGCCCCCCAGGGGACGGGGATGGGAAGAGGCAGAGGTGTGGACCTGGTGAAGCATGAGGACAGGTGTGCTGGAGAGGAGGGAGGGTGGGTGGAGGGGGTCCGCCACCCACGACGCCTGGACCCCAAAGCCTCCTGGAGATCACAGTGGGGCGTCTGTATGGCCAACACACCCCACGGGGAACTCACCCTGCACTCGTACTCCAGCACTAGCTGGCCTTGCCTCAGTCGCCTTCACTTTCGGCTGGAGGTTCACACACCAGCACCGGTGTCTCCCACGGCTAGAAGCTCTGCCCGTCAGTTTTCCAGGTCTTTGATGAGTCTAAAAATGGGGCGCTGATTCATTATTATTTAATGAGTATGCTTCCTCCAGAGACAAAGCCTCCAGAACAGGCTTCCCAGAGAACAAGCATCTCGGATGATGCCTTCAAAGGCTCAGAGAAGCTTGGGATCCCCTGGGGCAGGGACCAGCTGGGATAAGGAAGGAAGGCAAGCTGGGCCTGAGGACCCTGACCCCCAGGTCCTATCTGGAAGTGGCAAGGGTGTTCTCTGTGGCGGACTCAGGAAGTGTTGCTCAATCCCGAGTACAAGTTCATACGACCTGCTTGTGTCAGTGTTTCAATCCCCCCCCCCCCCACCACCAGCAGTGAGCTCCTGCCACACTGACCTCTTAGCACTGCCTTCAGCCAGTCAGTGTTTGCTGCACGCCTGTCCTGGGCCGTTAAGATGTGACAAAGATGGGCAGCCCCACTGCTGTCCCAACAGGTAGGTTAAGAAAACCCAATTTCCACTCACAGCTGATTCACTTGGCATCGCTGAGCCAAAACAGATTCCCGTTAAATCCCACTAATGGGGCAAAAAACTTCCAAGCATTTTTTACGTTTATAAAACCCTGGCATAATGGGCTTTATTCTTCATGATGCTCTATAGACCTAAATCCACTCATGAAAGTGAGTATGTCTATGAAGATATTTTTTTTTTGCTCTCATCTGAGTGATAAAAACATTCCTTGGTGGATTCTTGAATGCCGGACAGCCTTCTTTTCTTGAAGTTCCTTTTTAAGGCAGTGAGCTTTGAACTTCAAAATGATGGTAAGGGTTTTTGTTTCCGGAGTGAAAAGGCAGCTGGCACTTGGACAATTTTTCCTAGTGCCTGCGGTATCAGAACTGTTCCCTGGAACGTTCTTTCTACAGTTTTCTGGCCTCTTGGGAACCTGTCCAGAGGCAAAGATCGAAGTCCCTTGTATTAGGCAAACTTGGGTTCCAAGTCAACGGTGAGACACGGAGAGATTCTAGCTGGGGGTCACAAGGAAGCCATCTTGATGCTCAATCTAACATAAATAGACCCACCTAGGCTGTGTTTGGAAAAACATTATGATTTGTGTGTCCCTTGGAGAAATATCACAGAAATTGTCAAAATAAAGGAGGATGGGTACATGTGCATGCATCTTTTAACTGGGGGTGGGGCACAGTCTTTGGAGGCCAAGGTGGCCATACTCTAACTGCTTAGCCCCAGGCTGGGTCACTGTCTCCTTTTTATCTCTCTCTGAATTCTCTATAATCTTACAAGGCTGTTTTCTCAGGAAAGGCTGTTTGCTCCACGTCAGAATGTCCTGAGTTAAAGGTGGCAAGGAATAGTTTAGAAATCCTGCTCTTTGACAGAGCCAGGTTGCCTCCGCCACGTTCTGGCTGTGTGACGTTCGCTGAGTTGGTTGACCTCTCTGAACTTCTACGTCCTCCATGGTACACATGGAGGACATGGGGCAAAGGTAGTAATGATCATTAGGACTGCCCTGAACGTTTGTGAGATGATGACTCTATCAGGCTTGGCTTTCACTGTTATCCCAATAGAGAAAAAAAAGAATAGATCCTCTTTTCTAATATAAAAGTTGACTTAAAGCAGTAGAGATGTATGAGTTCACATAGAAAACTGAGCACTCAGGGGCGCCTGGGTGGCGCAGTCGGTTAAGCGTCCGACTTCAGCCAGGTCACGATCTCGCGGTCTGAGAGTTCGAGCCCCGCGTCGGGCTCTGGGCTGATGGCTCAGAGCCTGGAGCCTGCTTCCGATTCTGTGTCTCCCTCTCTCTCTGCCCCTCCCCCGTTCATGCTCTGTCTCTCTCTGTCCCAAAAATAAATAAAAACGTTGAAAAAAAAAATTAAAAAAAAAAAAAAAAGAAAACTGAGCACTCAGCACGAAGGTGTACATGAGAACCCTCAAATGTAAAGAGAACTGATGTCCTCGGACAAGTCTGCCCACCTGCTACAAGTGCTTGGAGCCCAGCCAGCTTTGGGAAATTCCCTTCCCCTGATGGCGCCACTCAGGTCTGCCTGTTCTCCACGGGGGAGACGGTACACCTGCCCAAGGTCTCAGCTCGTCTGACCCAGTAATTATTTCCCTCCAGTGAGTATTTCTTGACAAGTGAAGGTACTTTTTCTGGCAAAACCATAATGCTCTAATCTTAAAAAACCAAGTCTGGTAACTGCTGGTATGGAAAGAGTTTGAGGATGGGGCACCCGAGTGGCTCAGTCTGTTAAACGTCCGACTTTGGCTCAGGTCATGATCTCACAGCTTGTGAGTTCGAGCCCCACGTCGGCCTCTGTGCTGACAGCTCCGAGCCTGGAGCCTGCTTCGGATTCTGTGTCTCCCTCTCTCTCTCTCTCTCTTCCCCTCCCCGGCTCATGCTTGTGCTCTGTCTCTGTCTCTCTCAAAAATAAATAAACACAGAAAGAAAGAAAGAAAGAAAGAAAGAAAGAAAGAAAGAAAGAAAGAAAGAAAGAAAGAAAGAAAAAAAGAAAGAA